CTCGCCAGGTCCTGCGGGCCGCGTCCGCCTCTCGCGGCGCCCGTGAGACTGTTTCAAGGGCTGCCTGGCCAGATTTCCAGCCCGGGACAGTTTCTCGGGTTTCTGTACGTCCCTCCACCGCGCCTGCTGCAGCCCTGTATCCCTCAGTCAGTGCCCACCTTGACTCCAGGAGGCGAGGAGCTCGAGGGCCACGAATGGTTTCACACGACTGATCTCAGTTTTACAAATAACTATTCGTTTATTTTCAAAATCAAGAGTTACCGTAATATGGAGATAAACTTTATTACTATTCACAGTTTATCTAGTAAATAACCACAAAGTGTACCACGTGAATATCAAAAGAGATGTAAAACATCTTGGAAAACTTTTTTAAAATGTGGAAAATGCTGAAAAGCATAAAAAATAAAAATCACCCATGGGCCTAAAACTTAGAATTTACCACGGTTAACTTTTCGGGTCTATCTTTACATTTTTAAAGTCCGCACCCTAGCACCTTTTAAAAATTAGAACAGAACCAAACCAGCTGTTTCCCAGACTTGCTTCACGCGCTGGGGAGGGGAGCGGACGTTCCCAGCGTCCCGTCTGCTTCCAGCTCCTGCGGCATCGGCGCAGAAATGGTCCCCGCTGGGGCGCGGCTGCGGCGGGGGCAGCGGCTGGCTCCTGATGCCAGCTGCCCGACCTCAGACCCGCCCGGGCACAGCCCTGCAGGAGCACAGGCCTCAGCCCCGCCCCGGCACAGCCCTGCAGGGGCACAGGCCTCAGACCCGCCCCGGCACAGCCCTGCAGGGGCACAGGCCTCAGACCCGCCCCGTCACAGCCCTGCAGGGGCACAGGCCTCAGACCCGCCCCGGCACAGCCCTGCAGGGGCACAGGCCTCAGACCCGCCCCGGCACAGCCCTGCAGGGGCACAGGCCTCAGACCCGCCCCGGCACAGCCCTGCAGGGGCACAGGCCTCAGACCCGCCCCGGCACAGCCCTGCAGGGGCACAGGCCTCAGACCCGCCCCGGCACAGCCCTGCAGGGGCACAGGCCTCAGACCCGCCCCGGCACAGCCCTGCAGGGGCACAGGCCTCAGACCCGCCCCGGCACAGCCCTGCAGGGGCACAGGCCTCAGACCCGCCCCGGCACAGCCCTGCAGGGGCACAGGCCTCAGACCCGCCCCGGCACAGCCCTGCAGGGGCACAGGCCTCAGACCCGCCCCGGCACAGCCCTGCAGGGGCACAGGCCTCAGACCCGCCCCGGCACAGCCCTTCAGGGGCACAGCACAGCCAGGGCACAGTCCCGGAGCCCCTCCGAGCTTAGTGTCAGCTCCCCCCGTCCTCCGCGCTCCCTCAGGCCCAGGCGGGGTGCTTACCAGTCACCTCCTCCAAGATAGTCCACTGGCCCCTTTTGCCTTTTCAGTTCTTGTCCGTTCTCTATATACGGTCAATAATTTATAAAATAATTGTGGTTTCTGTTCCTTGGCTGGACCCTAATACAATCTCCATCAATGCCAAAAGTCACTTGACAAAATTCAACACTCATTCATGATTTTTTTAAAAAGCAATCAAGTAACAACTGATAAATAATGTAGTGATAAATACACATCACCAGCTCAAAACCTGGCATCTCACTCAGTGAGGTGAAACCAGAGGCATTGCCATGAAAGTCAGGAACAGACATGAAAACCACGGTTCCCTTCTACTTACTTAACAAGAGAAAGCAAAGAGCAGCACGAGAGCTGAGGGAAACAAGAGGTAAAGCTAGCTTGGTTTTCAGGGTATATGTCTGGAAAATACTACAAACAATACATAATTAACATACAGAAATCAACAATCTTCATATATGCAAACAGTAATCAATTAGAACAAAGAATCAGAGAAGATTCCATATATATTACTAAGAAAAAAGATTAAATACCCAGGCATAAATCTATCAAGAAATGTGTAAATCCTCTATGAGGGAAACTTTGAAATTCACCCAAAGTCTTTATAATTTAAAGAGAATGGTAGTGGGGCATAAAAAGACAGACTAGACAGAAAATAGAGAAATAAAGTTGAGTGCACATGCGAATACAACATTAAAAAAAGGTGGCATTTCAAATCAGTAGTGGAAATGTGGACTTTTTAACTAATGGGGAGTCAGTTGGAAAAAGGTCAAAACTGCATTCATACCTCACACCATACAACTGAACAAAATCTACGTGAATCAGAAATTTAAATGTAAAAACAAAATGAAGCCACAGGGAAATGTGTTATAATCTGGGAACAGATTATATGACCAAATTCCACCAGCAAAAAAATAAAAGGTTGATAAATCTGACTACATAATATGGAAAACAACTTGCATAAGAAGGGAAGACAAGCCTCATAGAAAGAAAAATAGAAATGAAGAATAGATACCTCATTGTGGTTTTAGTTTGCATCTCTCTGATGATTTTTATGGTTTTGTGACTTACATTTAAGTCTTTTATCCATTTTGAATTTATTGTGTATGAAGTAAGTTGATGGTCTAGTTTCATTTTTTTGCATGTGCCTGTCCATGAAACCACAGTGAGGCATCAGCTCACACCTGTCAGAATGGCTCCATCAACAAATCAACAAATGACCTGTGCTGGGAAGGGTATGGAGAAAGGGGAACCCTGGTACACTGCTGGTGAGAATGCAGACTGGTGCTACCACTATGGAAACCAGTATGGAGGTTCCTCAAAAAATTAAAAGTGGAGCTGCCTTTTGACTCAGTGATTCCACTCCTAGGAATGTATCCTAAGAATCCTGAAACACTAATCAGAAAGAATATATGC